TGCCCCGCGTCCCTGCCCCTCTTCCAGTGTTCGAAAGGGGCGTGGTTTTCGCTGGGAAAATGGCCGCCCGCTGGGTGGGCGGGGGCAGGGATGGGGGGAGGGATGCGTGGACAGCCTCGTAGCGGGAGGGCGGGTGTCAGCGGAGTCCAGAGAAGTGGGAATAGGGTGAGAGACAAAAAGATGGAATCTATTTGACATCCAGGACCCCGACTTAGGAGAACCTGCTGTTGGACTCTCCGAAGTGCTGTTCTGTCCGCTGAGCCATCCGTCTTTGCCGTGTCGCCTGCGTCAGTGGATCTTGCGCCTGGAGGCCAATCCAACCCTAGGAGCAGGAGGAAAAGGAAAATTGTCGAGAACCAAGCAGGTCAGAGTGAGGGCGATGGCACTGTTTGGGGACTCCTGGGGTGGAAGATGGTGGCGACTTTACACTGGAGTGGGCCCATGGATCTCCTCCGCATCCCCCTCTTGCACTCCCCTCTTCACCATTTCGAAACTTGCAAAAGAACGTGCTCTGCAGGTACAAGACAGTGAATGATGTGGCTGGGAGGTGGCGGGTGTCAAGAGAGTCCTGGGTTTGGGGTGGGGAGGACATTACTCCAAATTACTGTTGGGGCACAGTGTTCTTGTTTTTTGCCCCCTGAGCACTCAGTCCCACAGTTTGTCAGGCGGCGGAAACGGAGATGAGGGAGGAAAGAAATTTCTCCCGAGCAGTGGAAGTTGGTATAGTTGGGCAAGGGGGAGTTGTCCTGGTACCTCTGAGATAGTGGGGGTGGCAGAGGCATGGGAAGTGTTCGAGACTTTTATGCATTTCACGCCAGTCCGGCTTCTAGATACTGTCGCTCCAACGCCGTACATTTTATTACAAGGAAGGGAGTGTGGCGTTACCTTCCGAGGAAGTGACTGGCGGGGGTGGGGGTGAGGTGGAGGGTTGGAGGATAGGATCCTCGAAAGAGAAGAGGGAGGGAGATAATCAATTTCAAAGCCGAAGCTCTAGGAGGAGAGGAGGGTAACCGAATGTGGGAAACATTGAGCAAGTCGGGACAAGGGCGAGAGATTTAGGAGAGGGACATATGTCCTATCCTGGGTGAGGTCCATCTGTCCCGTGAGCGCTCACCATCCTCCCATCCCCCCCCTCCCCCCTTGTCTGCAGGTTTGCATGACGCAGTGCACTTCGAGGCAAGAAAAGGAAGAAACTGCCTGGACCTCAGCAGGTATATGTGAGGGCGCCACTGCCCCCAGGACATCTGGAAGGACAGGTGGTAGGGAACTAACTGATCAGATACTTTAACGTTCTGGAGTAAGGTGGTGGAGTGTGAGGCTGGAGAATCTGGAGTGGGGAAAATTTCCAAAATTAGCTTCCCGATGGAGGAAAAGTGATCTAGATATCAAGCCCCGAGTCCCTGCCAGTATCCCCGTACTTTTGTACGTTTGTCGGTCGGTAGTCCAGTCTGTCTGCATGCAAGGGCACAAAAGGAAGGTAGCCCGAAGCCTGAAATCTTTGCTTTATTCCTAGGTCCCGCTGTATCTGCAGCTGCAGCAGAGCCTGCCAGCAGTAGCTAAAACCTCCACCCTCCACGTGCGCGCGCTTCTCTGGGCCAGGGCAAGCGTGCCGTCTGCCGGGGTTAAGAGATTCGCCCCAGCCTTACCATGGGCCGCACTCGGGAAGCGGGCTGCGTGGCCGCCGGCGTGGTCATCGGGGCTGGCGCCTGCTACTGCGTATACAGACTGACCTGGGGCAGAGATGAGAACGAGAAAATCTGGGATGACGACGAGGAGTTCAGTGACACGTCAGAGACTGGGGTTGAGACTGGGAAAGGAGCTAAAGCTAACGTTGGGGCAGGGGCTGGGACTGGGGCCAAACTTCAGGGTGACTTAAAGGCCAAGGCTGAGGTGAGCTTGGGACCAGAGAGTGGTCCCCGTGTAAAGGAAGAGGTCCACTCGGGATCTCAGAAGGGAGGTGGCCTAGAGGCCAAGGCCAAGGCCCTTTTCAACACTTTGAAGGAGCAGGCAAGCGCTAAGGCTGGCAAAGGGGTCAGGGTGGGTAACATCTCTGGAAACAGGACCCTTGCACCGAGTTTACCCTGCCCAGGAGGCAGGGGTGGAGGCTGCCACCCCACCAGAAGTGGGGCTAGGGCTGGGAGCAGGGGAAGTGGAAAATCCAAGGGAAAGACCAGAAGTAAGAGCACCAAGGTTCCAGCTACGACATGGCCTGTCCGCAGGGGCAAATTCAACTTTCCCTATAAAATTGATGATATTCTGAGTGCTCCCGACCTTCAAAAGGTCCTTAACATCCTGGAGAGAACAAATGATCCTTTTATTCAAGAAGTAGCCTTGGTCACTCTGGGTAACAATGCAGCATATTCATTTAACCAAAATGCCATACGTGAATTGGGTGGTGTCCCAATTATTGCAAAACTGATAAAAACGAAAGATCCCATTATTAGGGAAAAGACTTACAATGCCCTTAATAATTTGAGTGTGAATGCTGAAAATCAGGGCAAGATTAAGACGTATATCAGTCAAGTGTGTGATGACACCGTAGTCTGTCGCCTGGACTCGGCTGTACAGATGGCTGGGCTAAGACTGTTAACCAACATGACTGTGACTAATCATTACCAGCATTTGCTTTCCTATTCTTTTCCAGACTTTTTTGCTTTGTTATTCCTTGGAAATCACTTCACCAAGATACAGATTATGAAACTAATTATAAACTTTACTGAAAATCCAGCCATGACAAGAGAGCTAGTCAGTTGTAAAGTACCATCAGAATTGATTTCCCTCTTTAACAAAGAGTGGGATAGAGAAATTCTTCTTAATATCCTTACCCTATTTGAGAATATAAATGACAACATAAAAAGTGAAGGGCTTGCATCATCCAGGAAAGAATTTAGCAGAAATTCCCTTTTTTTCTTATTCAAAGAATCTGGAGTGTGTGTTAAGAAAATCAAAGCATTAGCAAATCACAACGATCTGGTTGTAAAAGTAAAAGTTCTTAAAGTATTAACCAAGCTCTAATTTGGGGTCTGTCCAAAATGGTATTGAGATAATTTTTAGTTTGCACTTGGGAACAATGTGTTTAATAAATTCTTTGTTTTTCACTGTGCTTATATAGCAAAGAGATCCTTTGAGTTACTATTTGGAATAATGAAAATTGCAGATCATCATCAATGATGGATGTTGGTTGTGATGTTCAGGTTTAGGCTGAACCATTTCAAGGATGTCAAATGAATATTAGAGCTTGTGCGAAGAAAGCGTTTATTGATTTGATCTTGCTACATAGATTGAGATTAATTTTACTCTTTCATCTATCTAAATTGACAGCGAACTAATTATACATCATGAATAAGCTACACTTTTGTATTGGTTTATATTTGTTAATCTAAGGCTTGTGTCTTCTCAATAAAGTTGTGTTTTAAACAGCAGGGAAAAAAGTATTGTCCTTGTCCTTAAGTTTATGATCTGTTTGGAAAGGCAAGATATATGGAAACAAAAAGATAGTAACAGATGCTTCCCATCAGTGCTGAGAAACTGCGGTGGGCAACAGTGCTCAGGGAGCTTTACAGAAGAGGGGTCACTTAAGTAAGGTAGGCTTGAAGGACAGGATACAAAAGGGCCCGAAGGGCATTCAAGGAGGATGGAGTGGTGGAAAGAAAGGCACGGAGGTGGGAATACTGCTCCAGAGAGGAGGCTGGCCCACCTGGGTTGGAAAGTGTGTGCGTAGGGGGAGTGATGGGAGATAGAGTCAGGCAGTTGGGGTGAGTCCTGGCGTGGAGGACCCCATTGCTAAACTGGGGTGTCTGAATATTACCCCACCTACGTTCGGGAGACACCAAGGCCTTTCGTGACCAGAGGAATGACAGGATGAAAGGAAAATGATGTGGTTGATTTGTGTGTGGGATGCGTCTGAGTTGAGGAGGGGACAGGAGATGTGACTGGAGATTGGGAAACCATAGTCCAGACACAACAAGATAAAGGTGTGAAATTTCACTGGTGGCCCTGGGAATGGTAAGGAGAGGGTGGGAGTGAGAGACCTTTGAACGAATAAGTGCTGGAACCTATTCTGGGGATATACAGAGAGGGCCAATTTTCTTTTAGGGTCCTGGGGGCATTTGATAGGAAAACATTCTTTCTTGGCCAACGCTGGTATCTGTGTAAGTGAATAAGATAGTCACTATTTTGAAATAGTAATAAAATACAACATGAGGAAGAATAATGTTAGTGCTTATATCAGATTTCTTTCATAAGGTTAGTTGGGCTGGGGCCTTTATGGAACCATGGAGAGTACTGCTGGGATCCACAGAGGAGAAGATCTGCCTCTCTCCCACCCCGTAGTGATGAGGGTGTGGTAGGAGGAGCACTCTCAAACTGTGCTGGCGGAGTACACAAATTTTTAAAAAATTCAATGCTTAATTTATTTACTTTAATTTTTCCTGTTGTATTAGTTGCCTATCACCACATAATAAATTACCCTAAAGTTTGGTGACTTGAAACATCATACATTTATTATCTACAGTTTCTGTGGGTCAGACACTGGGCCTTCTGCTTCAGGATCCATTACAAGGCTGCAATCAAGGTGTCGGCTGGGTCACTCAGGGGTTGTTGGTAGGATTTAGTTACTCATTGACTGTTGGTCAGAGGTTACCCTTAGTTCTTTGCCAGGTGGCCCTCTCCATCAGAGCAGGCATAAGAGAAGAGCCACAGACAAAAAGTACCAACAAGATGGAAGTCATAGTCTTTGTAACCTGATGACAGAAGCTTGAATCCATCACTGTTGTGGTATTTTGTTCATTAGTAGCAAGTTACTAGGTCCAGCCCATGCTTAAGAGGAGAAGATTACACAAGAGTGTGAGTACTGTTAAATAAAAATGAGCAAGGCCATTGTTTTGGGATAAGTTCTTACACTAGGTCCCAACAGATTGGGCTAAAAATCAAAATGGAGTCAGCCCTGCTAAAGTTCTACCAAACCCAAACTAAATTGTTGTCTGTGGATACATATTTGAGTATAGAACATTTACATGCACTAAGGCTTCTGAAAGGCTATATACCTAAACAAGAATAGTTACCTATGAGTAAAATGATAATGTATGAATTTAATATTTTAATCTTTTTTCTCATCTGCTTTTCTTATCTATAATATGTGTTGAGTTTTTGTGTAATTGTTGGGAAAATGTTGGATACAGGTAAGGTTGGAAATGAAGGGGATGATAGAAGGGGAGAATAGGTGGGGTTTATACGGATATGTTTGGAGCACATACTGAGTGGAAAATATTTAGACCAAAAAGAGTGATGTGTTGGCATGATAGATGCATTGTAAAGATGTGGGTAATACCACATTAAATAATGTGTTATACTATTAAATGAGGTAATGTATGTAAAATGCTAAAATGGTGTTGGAACATAGTTAATTACTAAAAGTGAACACCCTTAGTTCCCTAAAAGACAGCATTGATAATTTTTGGTGACATTATGCCATACATTAATGGCATTTAATAAAAAAGCTGTGAAAATAACTGCTCTGAGGAATAGGGTCTTTGTTTCCTTCTAAGAATGGAAAATGCTTCTTTGATGCAATCTCATCATTTTCTACAACATTCCTGATGTCTAGGTGATGCTACTGTGCTTTAGACATGAAGCCTAAATCAATGTTTCTCAAAATAGGGTTGGTGGAATTCTGGAAATACATGTACATGTTTTGGGGTTTCACGAATTCCCTTTAAGTGTCTTTTAAATGTTCTGTTTTCATTGCACTGACAATTTGAAGAATTCATCACAAATACATTCTGTATTTTCAAGTGCTATCTGGTGACTTAGGAGCCAAATTTTGGGTTTATGTTAAATATTGTCATGTATTTAAAAAAAAAAGTAGAACTATTATATTCATTGATCATGACAGACTTTTTTTTTCACAATTTAGTATCTCTCAAATCACGATGCATCTTACGGTTGATGGCACCTTAGCAATGTGTCAGTCTAATTTGAAGTATGTTTTCTTTCTTAGTGGTATATAATTTAATGTATATTAAATACATTATACCACTTTCTTAGTTGGATGGAGTGAATAATTTCTGTATTAATATGTTGCACTTGAGGTGCAGAGTGACTTTTGTAACTGAGGTAGAAATGAGGTTAACTAGAATAATAAAAAGCCACAGTGAGGAAGACACTTTCTTAGTTGTATAATGTATTTAGTAATTAAAGGCATCGTAGATAGATGAAATTCTGTTTCCAGTCAATGAGAAAAATGTAAAGATGTACTTAATATTCAAACGATGCATTTGCTCCATAATAATATCATTAGGTACTTACAAAGGTTTTGCAGGAGTGTGAGTTAGGAAACTGGCAGAGAGCTGAGATTGGATCATCAGGCTCTCTCTAATAAAGGAATGTTTAAATCAAGAGAATCTGTGTTGTTGTCATCAGTACTATATTCATGCAGCAGATTGTGACTTACGACAGCCAAAGCAACATTGTTGTTAGGTTCAGTGAGACGGAGAAAAGAGAGAGAGAGACCTGAGCCAGGCGCTATTTCAGCCAAAAGCTTTATTCCACTAACGTGGAGGGGAGACTGAGATCAGTTTCCCAGAACCAAGAAAAGCAGGAGGTTGATAAGACTTTGAGGGTTCAGAGTAATAGGCAGTTTTGAAATCAGTGGTATGCAAGGTAACACAGTCCTTGTGGCTCGATAACATCTGGTGGGTTAAAGCGTAGGCTCCTGATGAGGCACTATCTCAGTACAAAGCATTCCAGCCGGAAGCCTGCTAGACGCAACCCACAAGACGTTCCCTTGATGATAACGGTAATGTTTACCCCTTCCCAGGAGAGAAATCTCAGTTCCCAGAGCAGAAAAGGGAAAGGGGAGGGGGTGAAGGGGGAAAGTTGCTTAACCTGGCTGTGCTGATGTTAAGCTAGCCACGAGGCCTAATAATTATCAATCTCATGGAATTCATGTTTGGTTTTGTAGCTTGGTTTATTTTTAATTAGTGAAATTGTTTTGTTTTGTATTTTGTATGAGAGATATAAGCAAAGGCATTTATGCCTAGTTCTAGGTATGTAAATAAGTAACATTATAATAAAAATCATTTTAAACAATGCTACAGCCCGTTGAGGAGTTTTCTTCTTTTTAGAATAATATCACTCAAATTTGATAAGCAATGCATTTATGTCAAAGACATGTATGTATATTAAAGAAGAAAAGAGGTGGGTGATACCTAATATTTGTCAGACATTGTTTCGTGTTTTACATAGTTTTGCCTCTACTTAATCCTTTTAACAATCAATCCTGTCAAGTAAATATTATTATACCTTTATTTCAGGAGAAATGAGAATTGGAGAAGATAGGTAAAATTTTCAAGATCAGTCTATTATAAGAGGCAGGGCTAATTAATGGCTTTTTAAACTTGATCAATTGGTTGTTTTAAAATTGCTTAGTATGGAACCAAACACCTGTATAATGCCTCTGTAGGTACTCAACACAAACCACCCCTTGATGAAGATGGAGATGGATATAATATTAGGCTGAGCGCATAACTTTATAGATACTCACACAGCAAGATGCAGACGAAAGAGCAGTCTCAGGAGACACCAATAGTTGAGAAACAGAGAAACTGCTATTTATTTTGCTGCTCCTGTGTGACAAGTAGGATGAGCAGTTTGGGTATGAAGCAAATAATAACTTCTGTATTAATATGTTGGACTTGAGATGCCAAGTGACTTTTGTTCCTGAGGTAGAAATGAGGTTGATTCGAGTAATACAAAGCCACAGTGAGGCAAGACTGGCCTGACAGGCGTCCCTCTGCTCCTTTTCTCCTCTCCTGCTTCCTTCTCATTCTTTCCTCTCCCTCCCTCGCGCCTCTATCTTGATTTCCTCCTTCAGGGAGATAATTGGTGGTAATCTCCTTGTGCTTCTGTGTCTTTTGGGGTGACCATTTAATTCCACTGACAGCATGCCATGCATCAGTGGTCATTTCATAAGAGTAATAATTGTCATTGCTGTGGTAATCGGATGACCCTGGGTGTGGCTGGATGCCAAGAGTTCTGAGAACCCTTGTTGAACAGAACAGAGACTTGAGAAGGAGCTAGTCCTAGCTTGGCACAGCCGTATGCGCACTACATGCACTTTTGAAGTCCCACACCTGGTATGATTTAGACCAAATAGCCCAGACTTTGGTAACGTGCTGTGTGACACAGGTGTGTGACTGCCTGGTCCCGTGTGCGAAGCTCATGTTCCAGTGTTTTCACCTAGGAGGCTGCCACTCTCAATCATTTTGGGAAGGGCAAAGTTGTAGGCTGTGGGACAGTGGCTGTGATTGTGGTGGCTCATGGGGGCAGGGAGGAGGCAGTGTCCTCTCTTTGAGAGGATGGCAGCTCCTGGGAAACCGAGGAAGTTAGAAACTCAGAGGATATCCTGCTATTTTGGTTTTGTTCTCATCTAATA